GTGTCCAGAGTGCGCTCTGCCACTCTGAGAGTGCGCTGCTCTGGATAACCCAACGCTACATTCAGACAGCGCTCCCAATTTATCAACGCTCCAGTTTGTGTCAGAGTGTGCTCCCACACTCACAATGAGTGTTTCTGAACGCACCACTCACATCATCTTCCTCCATCGTCTAAAACAAGACAACACAACTTGTTAGCTAGCGCTAGCTAATGTCTGTGGAGAACTGTTTTGCCTCCAGCTAAGCCCCGCCCACCCAAAATGTCATACTGTTTACTGACAGTAACAGGGTCTATTGTGTGACTTTCAGAACTGACCCCCGGTCACGGTTCTTGTCTCCCTCTCCAAACTGGGTAACACGCAATTCAGTCAAGTCAGGGAGGACTCTTGGCTGTGTCCTTCCTGCTGTGCGGGCGGCCCCAGGCCCATCATGTGCCTGCACAAAAGGAGAGAGGGGGAGAGACTCAGAGGAGCCATGAACTGTGATCACTCTGAGCAGCGTGCATGGGAATGAAATACAATACATTATAATATGTTGGAACATCTTTGTTACTTTTTCCCTGATGGTCTGAATAAGTCATTTAATTCGTCGCTAGTCACTTTTTAGAAATAAAGTGGTTAAGAGGCTCTGACAAGACGCAACAAAGTTGGCAACATGTTTCGATGCACAGTGAAGTGGAGCTACAGTTACAGCTCGACCAGGCCATTTAATTAGTTTAATTTAATTTACAGGTGACCTAGTACGTCACAAACCAAACAATCAGCAAAGCTACCAACCAGCTACAATTAGCTTATTTTACAACATTTAACTCTTTCAGGTGACGCAGCATGAACTGTGTCTCTGTGTCCGTCACTCAGTGTGCAAACATGATTGACACAACATTAAGTCGTTTTTATTTTTAAACGTGTTCAGTTTCGGATAAAAAACATGGACTCAGTGTGCAATGACCTTAAATCGTTTTTCTCTGATGTCATGTAAACGTACTGTGATTTGATGTGTGTGTGTTGCAGGTTTGGTCGTAAGTCGATGCTTCTGGTGGCTTTAATGGCCTCCACCACGCTGGGAGTCACCTCGGCCTTCTCAACCTCCTATGTCATGTTCGCTGTCTGCAGGGCGCTCTGTGGTGTGGCCCTCAGTGGGCTGTCAATCATCGGCGTGGTCCTCAGTAAGAACTCGATTCAAAACAGAAAAGCTTTCATTTCGAGCTCACGTCAGTGTCAGTGCCTACCTACCATGTTTTCATTGTTACTGTGATCTCAAAATCAAAACCTTTATAGAGTTTTAAAGTTCTATTATTTATTTTTAACTGTTTATTTTCTCTATAATCTCTTTTCTGAATATTTAATCGTTATCATACAATTGTGACTTCATGGTCTCATTAATGTTGAAACTAAATGATGAGAGCAAACACTTCCACAAATGTAACATTTGCTGCTTCACAATTAAAGCTCTCTAAAAGAGGAGCAAACAAGAACCCAACGTGCATCAAACATCCATCCAGAGGGGACCCAAACAGGCCAGAGAATAATTAGACCTGATCGTAAATGCTGTCCACCTGAGCGAAAGCCTAATCAATCATTGAAAGCTGAAATAGCAGAAACATAATACTGACAACACGTTATTTGTTATGCTTATGCTCGTGTTATTTATGACCACAGGTCAAAATCTTTTGCTGTATTTAAAATCTGTTTTCTGTTCTCAGAGAAATCTTAATGTACTTCACTGCAGTCTGTTTGTCATGGCTCACTTCCTGCTCAGGTATCGAGTGGACAGACGTGAAGCACCGGACCTTCACTGGCACCGTCATGAGTTTGTCGTGGAGCGTGGGGAACATGCTCCTGGCCCTGCTGGCCTACTACATACGAGACTGGAGACACCTGGTGCTGGCGGTGACAGCGCCCTGCGTCGCTGCCATCATCTCCTGGTGGTGAGGTGTTAGGAGGAGTCTCTGTTCTTCATGCTTACAGGAAATATCTTTGTGTCTCTGTGTTTTTAAAAGCCAGTTTCCCCCATCACTCTTTAGGTGGCTGCCGGAGTCGGCCCGCTGGCTGCTGGCCAATGGCAGAGTAGAGGAAGCCAAGAAGTATCTGGTTCAGTGCGCCAAAATGAACCGGAGGAACGAACAGACATCCAGACTGGACACTGAGGTACAACTGACTGACTCAATGTGAACATCCAGCATGAATAAACTGACAAGGTCAATATCAAATCCATGTTTTTGCCACACTGGCAGAGGAGCCTTTAACTACGGTGGTGGACACAAGAACATGAATGTCCCTATACGGAGCCAGTTTTTGGTTTGTCCGTTCAGGGCTTCTGTAGAAAGATGGCAACATGGCATAGACCAGGATCCGCTTCCTATGTAGATACATAAGATATACAGTACAGGCCAAAAGTTTGGACACACCTTCTCATTCAATGTGTTTTCTTTATTTTCATGACTATTTACATTGTAGATTCTCACTGAAGGCATCAAAACTATGAATGAACACATGTGGAGTTATGTACTTAACAAAAAAAGGTGAAATAACTGAAAACATGTTTTATATTCTAGTTTCTTCAAAATAGCCACCCTTTGCTCTGATTACTGCTTTGCACACTCTTGGCATTCTCTCCATGAGCTTCAAGAGGTAGTCACCTGAAATGGTTTTCCAACAGTCTTGAAGGAGTTCCCAGAGGTGTTTAGCACTTGAAACCATTTCAGGTGACTACCTCTTGAAGCTCATGGAGAGAATGCCAAGAGTGTGCAAAGCAGTAATCAGAGCAAAGGGTGGCTATTTTGAAGAAACTAGAATATAAAACATGTTTTCAGTTATTTCACCTTTTTTTGTTAAGTACATAACTCCACATGTGTTCATTCATAGTTTTGATGCCTTCAGTGAGAATCTACAATGTAAATAGTCATGAAAATAAAGAAAACGCATTGAATGAGAAGGTGTGTCCAAACTTTTGGCCTGTACTGTATGTACATATATGTAATTATTCACTGAAGAAAACAAACCTATTAAATTATATCCCCTTTATGCAGCAATTTTACGTTGCTGAACATGGGAGCTGCTGGTCTACGGCTGCCTTGTTGGGGTAGTGTGTTTGTGTTATTGTGTGACTTTGGTGTTTTGAAGGGTTAGTTTGGTTTCATCACAGTCACACAATAACACAAACACATTAACCAGTCGAGACAGCTGTAGACCAGCAGCTTCCGAGTTCTGCAAGGTAAAATGACTGTTTTTGTGATAGGAGAGCAGAGATACCGGCATCTGATCCTTATCGGAAAGGGCTGTGAGGCAGAAGGTTAAAGCAGTGAAAATATTCTAAATATGTAGACTTTCTCAGCTGCCTCTAGCAGCCTGTGGACTGACATTTACATCAAGGACTCCAAAGGATTTGACGTTACGCGTGCTCCCAAGTGCATTATTGCCTCTCTTCAGCTCCTGAACATGTGCTATTAGTGCACGATCATCCACCTGCAGGGCTGAAAAGCTGTCGTTTTAGATGTGCACGAGTTCCAGAGCCACCATTTTAGACTTTTACATGCGGGAGTTTGAGAGGGTGGGTGTAGCATACCCTCCGAAAGATGGTAAGATACTTGACTGATGGTTTTAACATTTATTGCTGTTCCACAAAACCAGCTCCATAAACCAACTTGAGAATTGACAAAACAAAGAAAACAAAGCAATCACTTTTCTGTTTCCACTTCTGTCCATAATAAATGGTAAATGATCACAGTACTTTCTCAGACAACTCAACATTTTATCAAGCAATACACCGCCAATTCACCAAACAGGCGGGCAAAAGAGTTAGCATACTTTTCGACACAAATCATAAGGTAATCACATAATCACCACAGGCACAACACACACCAACCTTATGCCTCCTCGGGGGGTTACCAAAATACACTCAGCCTTCGACGTTTTTATCATTAAGTTGCCGTTGCCGCTTTATTTTCCTTTTTTTACCTTAAACTTTTACCATTTTACCCTTAGCTCATTCATTCCGTAGTCAAGTGGCTTTGTTTTGTTCGGCAATACAACACAGGAAGGAAGTAGGAAGTAATGGTCTTCAAAATAAAATCTCACTGTTTAAAAACGTAACCATTATCTCCAAAACGGGCAAAAATATACATATAAAAGTGAATGAAATTACATCTTCTTAATAGCAACACAAATCATGTAATTTATATTTAAAGAACTCATGTCAAAAAATGCATCTAAAGCAGATATTTGTTTTTCAAAATTGACCTTCAAACAATGCAAGCTGCCCTCTGGTGGACAAAACGAGAAACAGCAAGCACAAAAAACAAAATGGGTTTGCTACAGTGGGGTATCCGTTAATCATTTTTTAATGTGGCCAATCAAGGGCTCACAATCCCATGCTAGTCAAAAACTTATCAGTTTTAATTCAGCCAATCACTTCACGGTAGTCAACATTTTAACTAGCTAGCTTTGCTAGCACTAGCTAATATCTATGTTTAAACTCCCCAATCATAACAGAATTTAGTCACTTCAACCACTGCTCATTTTAGAAGGACCCCAGCAAGAAAGCTGTTCTTGTTCTTTGTTTAAATTATCGGACATTTAATCTAGTTGTTTGTTTCTGGCTGCCAGCATTAGCTAGAGTAGCTAGCACGCTAGCTAAGTTAGCTGAGAAGTCATCTGTTTCCACCTTAAAATGTTGATTAAGAAAGTTGTCATTTGTTGTACTTTGTTGAGGAACAAGTCCGCCTGTCTGGAGGGTAGGGGCACGAAACCCCCAGGGAAAAAAATGGCTCCACATCCAGGAGTGTGTGGACACTGGAGGAAAGCCGACAGAACCTGCCGACCTCCGGCCATCCCTCTGGTTCTTTGAGGAGAGGAGCAGAATATAGTCTGGGTCAGCGGGGTTTGCTGGAGGCAGCTCATGGGCTTAGAGCCAGGACGCTTGACCTATCCGGATGGGCGTATTTGTTCCTCTGGACCATCTGGAAGATGATTCAACTTTCAGCTAGCTAATGTGGCAGCCAGAAACAAGTATCTATGATCCATCGTCTGTTTGATAATCTAAACAAAGACCACGTTTCCTTGTGGTGGTCCTCCTAAAATGAACAGTGGTGAAAGTTGGTGTATTCTGTAATGATCCATGATTAATAAGCAGACAGTGTTAGCTAGCAGGCTGGTGCACTAGCTAGTGGCAAAGGTTTCAACTTATACTTGTGTTTTTAGGTGGCTAAAATAACATTTTGCTGCCGCTCAGCCTCCGAGGCGGTCCTCTTGTCTGCTTCTTCAAACTTCAAACTTCGAAAAAATCTGAACTATCCCTGTAAATAAAAAGAGTGGCGACTGTGACACGATGCTGCTGTTGTGGGAATAAACATATTATTGAATTTTTCGAGAGGAAGGGATGAGTTTGGATGATGATGTTTTTTTGTTTCATAATAGTGACCAAGATGTTAAGGAGTGGTAAAACAAACTGTTTCTCAATGACCTCAAACATCTTTGACAGTTACGTGCTGTTATGTCTCTGTGATATCTGCAGCTCTTCTGTAAATGTGCTGTCGTGTCAGTGTTTGACCGTGTGCTTACTTGTTTCAGGTTCTGGGGAAGGTGACAGTGTCTGAGGTGGCTGAGAAGAACCACTCCTACCTGGATCTGGTCAAAACACCTCAGCTGAGGAAGATCACCCTGTGTTCTGGATTGTTCTGGTACCAAATCCTCCTCTGACCTTTAGACCTTAACAAATGCTGTCTGCTGCTGTGAGTATTCAGACTGACTGTGTACCTGCAGGTTTGCTGTTGCCTTCCTGTACTATGGGATCAGCTTCAAGATCTCAGGTTTTGGCGTCAGCATGTACCTCACACAGTTCATTTACTGTGCCATCGAAGCTCCTGCCAAAATCCTGACCTTCTTCGTGTTGGACTGGATCGGTCGTCGGAACGGCCAGGCCTGCTTTCTGATCACAACAGGAACTCTGATAGGAATAAACACAGCTGTACCTTTAGGTGACATCACTTCCTGTCTCTACATACGCATACACTACTGTTGAAAAGTTTAATCTGCCGCACCAGGCTTAACTGGGTCCAGTCAGATGTCGGACATCAAATAAAAGTGGAAGTTTGAATCATTTCATTCTTCTTTTGATGTAAATAATACATACATTATACTGTTTTTTCTCTCTGCTCAAAATTGTGTTTGTTGAAGGAAAGAAGATAAAAATCAATATTAACGTGATTCTTAACTTTCCAGTGGTAAAAAATATAAACACTTTGAGGTTTTGAGCCACAGGTCCTGTATATAACCCCATCTCTGATCATCTGCTTCTCACTCAGAGTACTCTGTGCTTCGTACATGCATCGCTGTGGTGGCGAAGGGTTCCTCAGAGGCAGCGTTCACCACAGCGTTCCTTTACTCAACTGAACTCTACCCAACTGTCCTCAGGTAAAACCCCGAATTAAACCACGAGGGACATACAGGACCCTGCATGCGATGCCATGACAACAACAAAAATGGAAGAATGGAAGTATTTAATCCTGTACTGAAGTAGAAGTAACAATATCTCAGTGTGAAAATACTCTGTGACAAGTAAAACCACTGAATTTAAAAAAACTGAAGCAGCAGTGTGTCAGATTCAGGGAGATTTAGTGGAATCTGGCAGTGAGGACTGCAGATTGCAACCAGCTGAAACTTCTCCTGGTTTATGATAATTCCTTCAGCGTTCGTTGTTGAGGAGATTTCTTACGGGAGCTGAATTATTCACAGAGGTCTATTCCTCTCCAAAACAAACAGACCAGCTGATTTAAACCAGTAAAAACACTAAAGCAGTTTAATGTTACAAAATCAGTGTTTTTCAATGCTGTCATCGTGAAGGGGCCTCTTACTGCAGTGGCTGATGCAAAAATGCAAAAATCTAGAGCCAGTGTTTGGTTTGTCTGTTATTTTTTAGGCCTTTAGCTAGCTGACTACGTTAGCTTGCTTGCTTGCAAATGTTATCACCAGCAAAATACGATCTGAGTGGATCTGTTCGATGGTTGGCTTGCCATCCTTAAGACCTGTCTCTGTTTTTCTCTGGTAGATGCATGGTTAGAGGGCCGAGGGGACTTGTTTTGATTCCAGTTCTTGACCGCTACTTCTTCTTCTTTTGACCAAATCACGCTTTGTGTAGCCAACTCAATTTGCTCTGAACCAGCTGATGGAAATGTGCTTAAGTTGCATTTGTTTTTGCACCATCTCAAAAGTTATCTTAAATGTAGTTTGATAATTGAATGAAAACACGACTTAAGTTAAGGTTTCTTCATCTGACCCAACATGTTGGACCTGTTTTAGAGAAAATGTATTTATTGCGTTATTACGACTAAAACCAGACTTTTAAAATCCATATAAACATGTTAGTCTGACTGAAATCGTACTAAATCGAATGTCTTAAAGTCGGACGAACACACCTAAATAATGCAATTGGGAGTTTAATTCCTCCTGCATGTATACAGTCAATCAGACCCAAACTGGCCGAGGCGCTCTGAGCATGCTCCACAGTTTCCGCCCCGGGCTTTGACCCGGAAGTCCAATAGCATTAAATGTGTAAGAGAAGAAGAAGCCGGTAACAACATGGAGAAATCTACATCCAGAGCCGTGACTTTTTGGACGGACCAAATGTACAGAGCTGTAAAGTTGTCCACCATGGTAGCAGTTAGCTGCTAGCTAACCGTAGCTAACTTGTTTGTCCATTGTTTGGTCTGTGACGTAATAGGTCAACAGGAAAAAGGTCCAATACTAACAAGCTGAAAGGGGGCATATCTCCACCTATCATAGAGGAGTCGCACATACTTGGCTCAATAAATGGATTCCCCTCCCGTGCTTGTATACTGGGACAAGGACAGTAGGCCAGTTAGATGTCCTCGTCCAGCTGGGACTGTAGCTCCACTTCACTGTGCATACTGACTGACTGACTGATGTCCTCTGCTGCCAGATAGACAAAACACATCGGTGGTAAAGACTTTGTTCTGTCTTTATAAGCACAGCGTTAAACTGAAGCTCCTGGTTGTGTCGTTGGACAGGCAGTGTGGTTTAGGCTACACCTCGTGTCTCTGTCGGATTGGGAGCTCCGTGGCACCAATGATCATGCTGCTGGAGGACGTCTGGCTTCTTCTGCCACCACTGATCTTTGCTGGGACGGGGATCGTCAGCGGCAGCTTGGTCTTCATGCTCCCGGAGACACTCAACGTCCCTCTCCCTGAAAACATCTTGGATGTTGAGGAGGGAAGGTAGCATATACTGTATATGTTTTCTGATGTTTGTCTTTATACCGCTTCATCTTCATTATGTGGTCAAGACACTGATCTGTATCATGGAGTTTGTCCTTTGTTGCTGTCTTCATTGTCATGTAGGTTTAGGCAACAGAACTACTTGGTTAGGGTCAGGAAAAGATTGTACACTGCAGTCGACTCACGTGACAAAGTAACACTGAGGCGAGAGGGCAGGCGCATCGTAAAGTTCAATCTAGTCTACTTTATGCAAAAATAGACGGGACAGCGCTCTGTAACCCCTCCCCCCTCGAACTCGCTGCAACACTCCCACCATGCACTGCGCAACTGCTTGACCTGCTCTCCATAGGTAATGAATAAAAAGCATCGAGACGCGTGTGTCACTAGCTCTGGTGGAAATGTCATCTTACTGTTAATCTGTTTACATTTCCGGCATTGTGTACATTTGGTTTTTGCTTTTTTGGATAATCTTTACTTTAATATTTTGTAGGCATGTACCATACTGAATATTTTTGTCGATATCTGATAAATAACTTATTTGACTCATAACCAATACCAATATATCCACTTTTTCCCCACCTAATTAAAGTGATATTAAGTCTCTTCTGTAGTGGAATTAACATCATATAATACATACATACTCTTATTGTGACGGCCCACCAGCAGATGGAGTAGAGTGTGTGATATTTATTCATTCATTGTGCTAAATATGTAAAAGCATGTTGGCCGATTCTGATATTTTATCATAAAGCCAATATTGTCCAATACTGATGACGTGCTGATGTTACTGTGCATCGCTAATATTTTGTTTATTTGCACTCTTTCCTGCTTTGCACTGTAACTGCTGCGTCTTCTCTCTCAGCTTAAGTCCAATCAAACACATACATTTAACTGTAGGCATCTAGTTTTACTGTCCAGTTATTTAAGGTTAATTAAAACCTCAACCTCAAAAATCACAATTCTCTGTGGTATAATTTTTTTCTTTGTGGATGATAAAATAACTTCTTTTCTTCATTTCTGTTTAGACACCGGCAGAGTGACCTCAACGGAGATGCAAAGATTGAGCTGAAGGAAATAAACTCTGGAGACACGGCAGCGTCACAGGACAACTGATGAGCTGCAGAGTTTCTCCCTGGTAGCTAAAAGATTAATTCTGTCTGCAGCCTGATGTGGACAGATGACCTCAAATGTATGTCGGAATAAAAATGTGTTGAGAAGAACAGACATTAAAGACTTGTTTTAAAACCTTCAACAAGCTGCTGACGATACTCAGCTGTCAATCAATGACAGTCAGTGCTGAGTTTCAGGTGACACTTTGAACATCTGCTGATATCAAACTGAATACAAATAAATTGTAGACATTTCCTTCAAATTCTTTATTCTGGTTCACTAAATGAATTAAAAGGCACACTGTGACACAGTATTTAACATAGCTTTTTGTGTCTATCATGGTTGGTGGAGAGCTACATATGAAAACAAATGAAACCAAAGTAAAACTACTTTATAGATACTGTAAATAAAACCAGACTCTCTGTGAGGCTGTACAGTGCTGCTTTAATTAAATGCCAAAACCAGCATGCTAACATCATTACAATGCCAGTTCTAACATGCAGATGTTAGCAGGTACAATGTTTATGATGTTCACCTTTGTAACATCATTATCAGTTAAAATAAAGTCCAGCTGCGGCTAATTAAAATGTCTGTAGTTCTGCAGGTATTTTGCAACCCAACTGCCACAAACAATGTTGGCGTTGTTCGTTGTTTGCAAACCACGGATCCATTACATTTGTATGTTATTTTGTAGCGGACACACTGAAACTTTTATATTTCAGTGGCATTGCGGTTAATGTGTGGTTTGTTTTAGGCACAAAAACCACTTTGTTGCGGTTAGGGAAAGATCACAATTTTGTGGGCACAATAACCGCTGAAAACGCAGAGATATCTTGGTAAAGAACCAACCGCTTTGCATGTCACTGTCCCGGCAGGAAACATGGCGGTATCATTGTAAAAAAACAACCACTTTTTGTTGTGCTACCCTGACAGGAAACATGGCGACAACCTGGTAAAAACCAGCCGCTTTTCATGGCACTGTCCCAAAAAGAAATGTGGCAAAATTAAAAAGTAAAACACAATTGCTTTCTGTGGCCCTTTCCTGGCAGGAAATATGGCAATACTCTGTAAAACACAATTGCTTATCATGGCAATATCCTGGCAGGAAATATGGCAATACTCTGTAAAACACAATTGCTTATCATGGCAATATCCTGGCAGGAAATTCGGCAATTTCTCAGTAAAAAATAACCGCGTGTCATGGCACTGTAAAAAAGAAATCACAGCAGTTGGTCAATAAAAAACAGCCATGTTTGAGGCTAAAAAGCTGCTCCATGTCATCTGCCATTTTGCTACTATGGTTTACTTCCATTGTGCACTATGCAACGCCCTCCATTGATTACACATCCCTAATAAAAATGGTTCCACTCCAAAATGGTGGAAACACGTCTGGTTCACTAGATAGCACCAATGTTCCAACAATCCTGAACAGAACCGGTTACAGAATCAGAGCTAATTTGGTGGAAAAGGGGTAGAAGAGACCTGCTGGTGATACAGGGATGGAGGAGGGCACAGATGTACTCAGGTGGCTGACCATGGAGTAGTACCTAATAATGGATCCTGAACCTGATGGGGTAAAATGGGAGTGATGTGTGTTGTCCACCTGGACCTGGTTAACAGCCTGGCAGCAGCATTCTGGATTATTTAAAGACGGTTCAGAAATGATTTGCCAAGACAAGTAAAAAGAGAGTTACAGTATCCAGCCAAGAGGACACAGGAGCATGACAAATCATCTCCAGCTCAGGTCGAGACGCAACATTACCATCTATAGCTGCAGGCATGAATATGTGGACCATCAGTACAAAAACACACCAGGATGTTATGAATTTAAAGTACATTCCTGGCTCTGATTGGCTCTTGATGTCATGGCAATGTCCTTTGACTGTTTGGAGCGTCTTTCAATGCTGAAGGCAGTGCATCAGGAACTGATGGCCTCTCATCGCTCTCCAATCAGTTCCTGATGCAGTATCATCAACATCAGGAAACCTGTCTGTCACGTACCTGTACGTGACAGACAGAGACACACAGTATAACTCAGAGCAAGTTAAACTCACCCTGTTTACATTAACAAGTTGCTTGCTAACAGTGTTTCCCAGAATGAATTACATTTTAGTCTAAAAAAGTCCTTGAATTAAAAACCACTTAGCAAGGCGAGAAGAAGTGATAAAAGAAGAGATTGATAAAAAAGTAAAAGAAAATAGGCCGAATGAAATGTTCAGTCGAAGACCCTCGATAACAGAAGATACTCCACTACAAGCTGCACCAATGGTACGCAATGTAATCACATGGAATCCTAAGTGGGCGTGGCCATCTCTCCGCTGCATCCCACCCATCTTGTTTGGATAGGTGTAGTAAATGTGGTGTGGATGGATAAAATCGCAATGAAACAATACAACAGTATACACAGTACACATTTAATGTTTGCTTAATATCTGATATCAACTAAGTGTAAGATTACGTCAGATGTTTGAAGGCTTACGGTTGGTGAAAAATGGGTCCAATATTTACTTGAGTGACGACGGTGCGAAGGAAACCGTCTTAATCTGTACTCATATTCACTTTTCCCATTGGAGTGAATGGACTCAGGAGTAGGGGTGGGCGGCTCGATCCTAAGATACTGATACTCACAATACTACGTTTCCATTTAGAGGATCGATCCTAGCGTCAGTAGGATCGAAACCAAAAAAGAGATCAGTTTGTCTCTTCTATGTCGGACCTCTTCATATTTCAAGAGCAAAACTGTCAGTGCAAACAACGTTCTGTTGTCGTGAACACATCTCGTGTGCGTACTCTTTGCTTCTCTGCTTTGCTCTCTACATCTTAGTCCAGACGCAGTCAACATCCTCTTAGTTTCACTTTTACCCAGTGTTGGCAGAAGGAGGACGGTAAGCTCACCTCCCAGCCCCTCCTGTTTACTGCCGTGGGCTGATGTAGACCCTTAATTGTTCTATGAGTAGAATTGCATGCGCATCCGTGTATCTGTCCGCGGACATTTAACGCAGATAGTATGTCCGAGCCTGACAAGTTTTATCTGACACATAACAGCAGTAATGGATTAACGAAAGAGGAAACAACATGAGAAAAGAACTTGGAGTTGCAACAGTAAAGAAGGGAGGAGAAGGGAAACACCTCAGCATCCAGACCTCTGACACAGAGACATTCAGAGTCTGTTCATAGAGGTACAGACAAGGTATATCCAGGTGAGCCTCGTGAAATTAATATTTTAGTCAAATCAGATCCTCAGCTTTGGTTAATGTTACATTTTCAAACTGTTATTGGTCATAATTAGCTGTGACCTAAGCAGATTGATTATTTAGAAAAAAATAAAAAGTATTGTATCGTTAGTGGCGATCCTCCATCTTTATATTTCTCATATTATGTTTCCACGGCGCCCCCTCAAGGCTGTCCTGGTCCTCTGGCAGAGACGAAGTGTTGGTGCTGCATTCAGGTGAACCTCAGCCGGCTCTGTGACATGCTCAGAGCTCACAGTTGCCAGCTGAGATTAACCTGGATCACAGCTGTTTCCTGTAAACACAGTAAGGTAATGTAGATGGGTACCTGCAGCTGCCACCAGGGGCCGCCAACGAGCCCTGCTGCCCTGGAGTACTAACCTGGTAAAGGTGGCGCTCATCTACTGCTGGGTAGTTTTATCTATAACAACATGTCATCATTTATTAGGTTAATAGATTTGGTATCAATAATCTGAATCTGCAGAGTTACTATTAATTAAAGGTATTTAATTAATGTAGTAGAGCAGAAGTGCAACGTAGCAGCAAATACTCAAGTAAAGTACAAGTACCTCAAAACTGTACTCAAGCACAGAGTACTTGAGTAAATGTACTCAGTTACTTTCCACCTCAGCTGTTTCCTGTTACAGCCTCATGTTCCAGCAGTGAGTCCATTACTGATCCGAGCAGAGCGACTGGATCATCTCTGCAGGTGAGTGTGAGGACACGTGTCACGTCACAGTTGCCTGCAGAGATTAACGAGTCAACCTGAGGCGCTGGAAAACACATACAGAGGTGTTACCATGGAAACTGGCTTAGCAACACATTCTCACTCCGACCTCGCCACATACCGCATTTTGGTCATGGACTTTCCACGTCCACATATGACGTCCAAGGTACCCTGGGTGTGTTGGTTGTTGACGTTCTGGGACGCTGTGTCAACTTCAGCCTGGTACATGCATTGTCTGTTTTCAAAATACACTTCTGTTTTCACAGGAAATGTACAGTTTGCATACAGTCTCTTTCAAAATAAAAGCACTACATCGGTACAACACTGCAAATTGACGTTTCTTTTTTTCCTACACCGGCAAACAAACATGGTTACATTTAGCCACCACATGCACATGTTTGGGTTTAGGCAACAACAGCAGGTGGTTAGGTTAAGAAAAAAGATCAGGGTTTGGTTTTAAATTCATACAGGAAGTGAACACCAGCCTCCCTGATGAAAGCTGGTGATTGTCAGACTCTCCTGTCTGCCCTTTTTGGACTTTTCACCTCCTTAACTTGCAATGGTATTCAACGCCTTCGGGTGAAGACCTGGTTGGGGTGGGATGCGCTCCTCAGCCTGCAGATGGTGCTGAACTCTGATGGACTGAAGGAAAAGAGGAGAGTGAGGAAGTGTGGAGGAGAGAGGTGAGGAGAAGAGGGTCAGATGAAGGACACACTGAGTAGCAGGTACTGTTATCATCATAATGCTACACATCATGTGGACTGCTGCGGTTCATCCTGTCTTTGACATAAATCACAAGTTCACTATGGGGTACCGTTTGTAAAGTGTCTCACGGTGAAAATAACATCAACATTTTGCCACATTTAGCTTCAAACAATGTTTAAAAAAGTGTTGTGAATTTTTTAACGTCACCTTTTACCACATTTACAGCAATATTTGTTAACTTAGAAATATATTAAATAGTTAAATCTAAATATTAAATGTGGCACCTAAATGTTAAATCTAAATATTAAATCAAAATCTAAATGCTAAATCTAAATGCTAAATCTAAATGTTAAATCTAAATATTAAATCTAAATCTAAATCTAAATGTTAAATCTAAATCTAAATGTTAAATCTAAATGCTAAATATAAATATAAATCTAAATGTCAAATCTAAATCTAAATGTTAAATCTAAATGCTAAATATAAATCTAAATGTTAAATGTTAAATCTAAATGTTCTGGGTGAAACTAAATATTTAGCTAATATGCAAATTCACACTGCCGGTCACCGGAAGTACCAAAATAAAAGCTCGAGATGGTCAGACTGTGTTTATAGAATCAAATAA